GTTGATTTCCTAGATTGGGCCCCCATGAGGGCCACACAACTCAAATATAACAGCCTCTTTTTCTTCCTGGTAACAGTTTTCCATTAGACACAGCTGTCAAATGTTCTTTCTCAGCAGAAAATAAATGGGGAATAATTGACTTATTAAACAGTGCATTAAGCCAATATTTATATATTTACAGAGTCCTAGAGACATCTAATATTATTTAATTGGCTGACTTTTACTGCTGCCGGTGTGCCATGAAGAGAAATGCACATGCAGAAAGAAAACAGGAACTATATGATCTTCAAGTCTGATGCAGAATATTCATATGCCTTCCTAGACAGAAATGACACTATAATGTGCATTAACTGGGAAATCAGCCAAAGCTATGCTTTTAGATTGTTCAAGAGACTGTAAAATACTCATAAAATACTTGTAGGATGTTTTATTAACCTTCTGTGGGCTTGCTCCTTTATAGAAGATCTATAAAACCTAGAGAAAGCCATTCGTTAGCATTCCCATTCATCTTAATGGCAGTTTCTCAGCTGGTGTAGCTTTTTAAATGTTCATCAATGGAGAAAAATGCTTTTTGTCCACAAAACCATATCCACATTTTCATATGCAGTATGGCACGTTTACCCTAAGGTGTCTCAGCATTAATTCTTTGTTTCTGAGAGAACATGTGCAAACTTCCAAATTTAGTTTTATTTTAGATCCCATTTTTAATATAAACTTTTATATATATTTAAAAGTGAAGTGTGTAATTTCTGTGCCAGTGGTGTCACCAAATGGAAGTGAAAAAATGTTAATGTTACTCTCCGACCTATGTCTGCCATTGGTTATTTAAACAGATAGTCCCGCCCAAAACTAACACCACTGGTTGATCCAATGTACCTATAAATGGCTTATTTATAGTCATTATTGCATATTACATTAAACAGGAGAAACAGGATATTTTTAGACTTACATTTAAAATTTGCATATAAAAATCTCTAAAATATTAAAATATATGAGTAAAATAAGTAAACCTTTTTCTGAGGCATAAATTTGCAAATAACCCTTCTAAATGTGGAGGTTTGCAGATGTTCTCAGACACAGAGGACTAATGTTGATGTATCTCATGGTAAACAGCAAATCCAGCAGAGTTTCTAATCAAGTCTAATGAGCTCACACTTAAGCTCATAATTTGGTTAATAATGCTATCTTTCCATTCCACTGCATTTTACAAATTATGCGTAATTTGGTTTGCTTCTGGTTGATTGTGGTGGAACATTTGAATCCAAGAGTCAGAGCAAATCACGCGTACAGCTATCAAATCATAAATGCCATTGAATAGCTTGTGCTGGGTTTTCATATTAGGTGATTTATTGGAAGGTTTCAATTGAATTTGCCTTACCCATAGAGGGCGGTGTTTTGAAATGTTACAATTCTTTCGGTGCACCTTTCAGTTTGGAAGCACATCAGCAGTCACCCTGTAAATGTTCATTTCCAGTGTTCGATTGTACCATGAAGGTGAAGCTTTCCAGTTCAGCACTTTCTCTGTCACTGTCCTTCAATAGCTCACAGATGTAAGGAAGATCACCGAAGCGTTGACGTTCGCTTTTCCTACATCCATTTACACTCAGCCCACGCTCACTGTCTCCCTTTAAGGCATTTATACAAATATCTCAGAGATTACCGTAAAAATAATCTCCCAGACAGCACGTGCCAGTCTCCTAAATTAGCATGTGGAGTTAATGGTAACGCTCACCTTGAAATGTCATCCAGACAAGAGCACAACTTGGCCACCCCTGCTGCTCCTGCCCCCCGAGGCCTGTTCGTAGCCCCTGCCATGTGGATTTGTTAAAAGAGTGCTTCCTGCATGTTTCTCCTCTGAAACAGTTTCCTTTAAGAATTCATGTGACCGCAGGGGTTCGCACACGCTGGGTGCTGTGACTGTTTCTAACGTTGTTTAGCGCGCTGCCGGATTGAAAGCCTCTTCTCAGATGCGCCGCTGGTGAGTTTATATCCCACACCATCAGAGCGATACGGTTTCACTGCTGTTAATTTGTTACATTTGCCAGAGCCACACAATTCAGGGACCAGGGGAAGAAATTATGAATATTAAAATAGGAATGTGCGTGTGGTGCTTCAATATTAAATCATAAGGGAAGGACTGTCGCAGGCCTTATTAAAAGATAATGTGTGCTGGGGGAGAGGAAATATATCACTTCTCTGTTGGTGGATCCCACTATGTTAAGCCCATTGCGTGTCTAAGGACAAACGCTCTGATGAGTTAAGCCTGTGTGCGGTGCACAAGGACAGAAAATGAGGGGCTAAGAAAGAGGAAAAGCAAGCCAAGCGCAGGATGTAAATTTCAAAGGGTTTGTGGAGGAAGTTAAAGCTTGAACTCTACCTAAAGTAAGTCAAAGCAAAAGATTAAAGTACATATCCAAAATGTTTTAATTGTACATATTTATATGAAGACCGTTTCCTCATATTTTTGACACCAGCGGATTTTGAACACTACCTAAAAAGTGTGCACCAAGGTTTGTCTTATGCGACCTATAATGTCTTGTGGTATCTATAGTGTCAAAACTACTTGTAATAAATGATATATATAATTATATATATTAGTGCTGGGCGGTATACCGGTTCATACCGAATACCGGTGTTTATTTTTGTTATGATATGAATTTTTAAATACCGCAATACCGGTGTATGTCGCTTAAACAACGTTCGGAACGCGACACTGTTTGAAAGGGGTCACTTTTCACTGTTGCACTGTGGTGAGGAAACAGCTGTATGTGTTACTAAGCGTGAAAGTTCCAAAACTGAAGCTGTAGAACTAATAGAACGTGATGACTGCTTTTATTGTTCTTGTCCTTTGGATAAAAGCGTCTGCTAAATGACTAAATGTAAATGTAAATATATATGTTGCATGATTATTACAGAAAAAAACGTGGAGTTTGTTTAACATTGGACCTTTTAATTTGTGACATTTCCACCTTTTTCATTATTTATCACTTTATTATAAATATAATTATAATAAGTATATATAAATATATATAAAGACAATACGGGTTGCATAACACCTCCACGGACCTCCAAAAGTTGAAAATGACTTTTAAAAAGTATTATTGTGTAAAGTCATTGTGTAATTCACACTCTGGGAAAGTGTGAGATCTGGAGCTGTATGCTACCCTTGTTTTGCTTTGACTAATGAAATGAACTATGGAACTCCTTCTCTCTAACTGTAGAAATTATCCTTAATATAGTTAGAGATTACCAGGCCTCTCACAGTGTCAATGGACTCGCCCTAGGAACTCAGCATGGCAACCCCACTGTGTGTTGATAAAAATAGAGCGAGGACAGAGAAGGGCTAATTATCACAACACAGAGGGATGTACTTGAGATTCACAGTCTAATGATCAGGGACAGAAGTGTCTGAACACAGTACTAATATTTCCAATGGCAGTGCCAAGAATTTGTTTTGTTACTTTTCCTAGTTAGACATTAGGAGAACTAGAGTTCTGTGTGAAAACTCAACCATTTTGGTTGAAGCTGCGTAAAGGCAAGGCTCTTTGATAGCCAGACTAAAGTCACACGCACCTACAGTGGAGATACTTTTTGGGACTTAAGTTTGATTTATCGATGTCATAAAAACTGAGAGAGTTTAATACCACAGCCTTTCACCGTTGGAAATTCAGAAACATGCGCCTGTCAGATACGAGTAGCCATTCCACATTTCATATTTCAGTGAGCCGCTAAAAGGGTGATGTAGAGATCTGCACATATTTTGTTTTTTTTATTGTGATTGATTGTCACAGGGAAGTCAGATGCAGCTTGTAGGTTTTATACTCCTCCTGTAAACACAACAAAGAGAAGAAATGCTATTATTGAGAGAGAGAGAAACAGCGAGTCTATGAGATGTCAATCAGAGGGATGGAGCCAGCGCGCCCAGCTGATGTTGATCTGAGGTGGGATTCTCCATTACTGAAATGAGAGCTGATGGACTGTTTGAATGCCTCTCTGGCCCTGAGTTTATCCCGGCTTTGTGCGGCTGATACAGTAATTGCAGGCAGTGATTAGGAAGCTCCCGCAGCACAAAGCATAGCCCAGATTAAACGCACACACTGTGGCAGATGCAACGCATGCTGTCAATTATAATATACCACTCCAAATGGCACTAAGCAGGGACATAATAAAGAACCACAGCACAGAGACAAGCCCATCTTATAAATTAACAACACGCTTGCCATGGAGGCTCAAAAGCATTGTCTGGTCAGGGATGAAATGAACATCCCCACAATTTGAACAGCAGGTCTTGTCTTAAATAAGTGCCTTGGTCCAAGACTCAAGATCTTGATCAGAGTTTTATTCTACTCTGTGCACTCTTAAAAATAAAGGTTCTTTATTGGTATCTATGGTTCTATGAAGAACTTTTAGCATCGATGGAACCTTTCCATTTCAAATAGTGCAAAACAGTGGGAAAAGGTTAAATAAAAAAAAAGGTTATTTTAAGAACTGTTCACTGAAAGTTTCTTTGGGCATCCAAAAAATGGTTCTTCTATGGCATCGGCCTTTTGGAACCTTTATTTTTAACAGTGTATGGATACCCAAACACCTGATCAATATATGCATGTTGAGCATTACATCTCAAAACCACTGGCTTTCATAGGAAGTTGACCTTCCTCAGCAGCTTATGGAAAGACATTTTTCTAGGAAATTTGTGACCCTTCTGAAACAACTTTTGACCATAGTGTATGCTTGTTGGTTACAAGCAGCATGTCTTCTTCTTTACTTTCATTCTAGGCATGCATAGATCCCTGTCAGACCACCATATGGCTCGACCGGTCAGTTCAGACGGACTTTAAGCTCCTTGACCAGCCCTAACTGCAGCTGAGCACACAGGAGAGGGCTAAAGATTTAGTCCAAACTATTTGTTGTCAACCTTCTGATGTTTTGGAAGGTAAAAGTATGATGACATGAGAAAGGTTACCAATTATGCTTTCTCGTCCTCTTTCTCTCTCTTACAGATCCTAATGCCCTGCCAGGCCCGCCAGACCACGCTCTGATTGGTGGAATTGTTGCTGTCGTCGTTTTCGCCACTTTGTGCTTAATTATTGTATTAGGACGCTACCTGGCACGGCATAAAGGTGAGATTTTCATTAACTTTCTGCAAAATGTAGATACAGTAATACTCAAAAATACATCAATAGCTATAGTGGGCTTCACTTGTGATTCAAAAACAGTATTTTTAATAATTTAAAACAAAAGAACGTTTTGTAAAATGAATTAAATGCTGCAGTCATCAAAGCAAAATTACTGAGTAATTCAAAAATACTGAGACTTTTTGAAGTTTGTATAATATTTTTTATTTTAAAAAATAAAGTATTTACTAAAATTTTGATAGAACAATCAATAAAATTTTAAACATTTGATATACATTAGATATTACAATTATATATACTGGAATATTAGAATATCAGCATATTAGAATGATTTCTGAAGGGTCATGTGACACAATACTGAATAAATTCAGCTTTGCCATCACAGGAATAAATTACAGTTTAAAATATATTAATAGAGAACAGTTAGTTTAACAGTGTTTTATTTTAGTAATAATAATTGTAATACAATAATATTGTAATAAAACACTGTTACTGTTTTTACTGGTGAACTTACAGTAAGATACTTTTTTCAAAAAGAAAATGTTTTTTTAAATCTTAATAATTCCAAACTTTTGACTGGTAATGTATAAAAAAGTGGTCTCAGACTTTTGAACTTATAATACACTCTCAGAAAAAAGGTACAAAAGCTGTCACTGGGGTGGTACCTTTTCAAAAGGTACACTTTAGGTTCTAATATGTACCTTTAAGGTACCAATATGGACTATTTAGGTACAAAGGTGTGCCTTTTGAAAAGGTACCGCCCCAGTGACAGCTTTGTACATTTTTTTCTGAGAGTGTACTAATAGAAATGGTCTTACATAGAATTGCAATTTTAAAGTTTCCAGCATTTTGTTCTTTTTTACCTGTCCACATAAATAGGTATTGTAAAGTTTCAGTGACATTAAAAAAAAAAATCTTCAAAACAAGACCTTGTGTGTTTCTTTTTTTCAGGCACGTATTTGACAAACGAGGCCAAAGGAGCAGATGACGCCCCGGACGCAGACACAGCCATCATCAATGCTGACGGCAACCACGCACACGCAGAAGAAAAGAAAGAGTATTTCATTTAGACTGCAATGGCACTGCGCTCCTCTCTCTCTCCTCTCGTTCCTTCGCTCCTTCTCTGCACCGTTTAGGAACTTCTTCAGACAGCAGCGGAAGCTTCGTCACACTCTTTCTGTTCAGTTTGTTGTTTTTCATTTCAGTTCAGATTTCTTTTGCTTTTTTCGATAACAGCTCACCTGCTACTTTATACGGGCAACTTGTTTGCTGAAGATGTCACCTTTTGTAATCATTAAATAGCTGTAAAACACCCCCAAAGTACTAAAAAAAGTCAATCTCCAAATATGAAAAAAATATATAGTCTGCAGCCATCCTCCAGTAAGGACTCGCCCTTCATCCTCTCACAGTACCTAAATATACAGATGTCTGCTGAGTTTCAGTCAATGCCTTCATGTTTGTCAGGCCTCTGATTGGTTGCTTGTTTTTTTTTATCTTCAGCGTTATGATTTTTAAAAATGTTTTGTGCTCTGTTTTTTTTTTTTTTATTTCTACTTTAATTTTGGTTGTGATTCATGCTGAATCCTTTTATTGTGATGTTTCTCCCAAAAAAAAACACAAAAAAAAACAAAACATGATGTACAGTAGTAAAAATATACTCAGACTTGAAGTGAGGGAGGCTCCCTTTTTATTCTACAGATTTTTAGGTGTTAATAATGTTATTGGTACGTAGAAATGCTCCATTTTGCAAATTACCATTATATGATGTGAAACCGACAACTCACACTATGGCTAAAATCAGTATTTTGTATTTGAACTGTAGATATTGGTTCGTAAATGAATAGCTCCACAGAAGGTCTCAGTGTGTTCCACCGAAAAATCACCTTGTATTTAAATTAGTTTAAACAGTTATGTTTACCAACTCTAGTCACCAAATAAACCCTAGCGGGCTAGTGAATCAGCAATCAGGCAAAGAAAGACAAAGAACGAAAAAGCCCAGTTGTGTGTTTGTGTGTCAGATCCATGGTCGAAGTGGGAACCATCTGATATATCATCCTTTCAGCTGTTTACACAACCGTTGTGCCGAACACACGAAATCTCACAACACAGAAAGTGATATTTAACAAAAACAAGTAGCGTGCAACTATTTCAGTGCTCTTAAACCTTCACATCACTGGTCAGATCTATATACAGTCCAAGAAAGATCCCAAAAAACTTTTTATGCAAACCTGAACATTTCACATACATTATGATAACACTGAGAGAACATTGCCCATGTGCCGCATTCATAAAGGCTCACTCATTTTACAGCATAAGGTTTAGGCCAATCAAAAAATAAGCACAAATTACTCACATCAACTCATCAATCGGTCTAATACAACAATCATGAAGTAAAAATAACTAACTTTGATTTTCATTACCCAAACTGGACATCAGTACGCTTTACGGTCACTGAAGTCACAGGTTATGTTAATGTTTAGAAGTGTTTTTGGAATTCCGTTCTTTTGTTGATTTCTATGATGAATAGACAACCTTGCTAAGGCTGTATAATATATCTGCTAAATGTGGTAACTAGTGAAAACTGTTGTTAGACTTTGGGATCCCTAATTCCATCAAGTTTGTATATTAGCTGATCTAAATATTGGTGGGGGAAATCGTTAATTTTTTCATCTTATTTGTCATTCAAAGATTCTCGACAACTTCATAACCTTTGCTTTAGCTCAAGGCATGTATATACTGTACAAGTATCACATTTTGGTAAAACATTTTTGAAAGATTGTTGTTGTTTGACTCACAGTGTAAATTATTTAATTTTGCTTCATTGAAAACCACTGAATGAGTATGACGGCATTTGTGACAGCAATGGAATACTTAATGAAATGGCAATTCTATGTATTTTTTGAATGGGAGACTTCTAGCATTTAAATCACTTTTACCTGATGTTCGTTTCCTGTAAATGATGACGATTAGCGTTCATACTTGCTTTCGCAGTCTGTCTCCGTTCTCACATAAGAAAGATATCACTGAAGCTTAGGAAACCAATAGATGGTTAAGCTTCACATTTTCATAGTAAATCTCAAAAATATCTTTTAATTTAAGTCATAATGCACCACAATAACACATATCACTTCCATATACAAGTATGTTGCTCAAATGTAATTGTCTCGTCACATGTATCCCTAATATGTGTGAATATATTAATGGTTAGGAATATGGTATACTTTGACAGAGTCACTGGGCTGTGTGTTATCAGTCAGATTACATACTTCTTAAGGCCAAACTACAGTGCACAAAAAGATAAATTTAAGCCTTATGAAAAGAAAAATAACCACTGACTCAAGCCACAATTACCGTTTTTGTTTTTTTCCTGCTACGTTATCTCTCTTTATGTGGATTGGCTCAAAGCTGTCTGTCTGGCATATTAACTGCTAACAGTGTTTGGTACTTGTCTGTCTTATTGTGACACTGACCTAATGCTGCCTTTGTGGTCAGTAAAATCACATGCTATTATCAAGAAAATATATCCACTTGCTCAGATTTTGACCCATTACAGGAAATTCTCAACATTTCTAAGAAAAATAAATCAGCTTCTTTTATCACCATAATTGCCTTTGTGTTTGTAGTGGGAGCTTCATGCTGTTTTGTTTCAGCTCTTATGGGTTCTTGTTTCATTGAAGACTGGTCACCCAATGCCTGGTTGTTTCTTTTCCTTCAAATTTGCCTTTATATATTGCATGTTATAATGTCACCTCATATTCGCTTTTTTAATGCACCAAAACACATTTCCAGTTTGATGTTTTTTGTTAATCTAGTGATTGCAGTGGAATTTTACAAAGAGTTCATAGCTAAAATAACGGCCTAAAATGTTTGGATAAATACTGAGATTTATTCAGTCAATCAGTGTTGTAATTTGCCATTTGAATCCCCAGTATATTTACTATAGCTGGTATGGAACGATTGTGATTATGAAAATACAGACTGTACAAACATGTTAACGGCAAGCTATATTGAAATAAATTATGGTGTACTGATTTGAATAGATGTCACTGTACCAGTGTGGGGTGCTCCAAACTAGTCATTTAGGAGATTCCATAAGAGTTATGATGCTCCATATAAAGGCAGCTCACAGGTTTAGGAACAGAGCTCAAATTTTGTCAGTCAGAAACATTTTTGAGTCTGCTAGTGGCAGTTCATCTACAACTGCTATATGTTGTGGATACAGATTGAACATTATGATCTGAAAAAAAAGGTTCCATATATGTTCAAATAAAACACACATGGCTTGTTTCTCCTGACAAACTATAAGAATATAGACTACCAATTAGCAGGCAGATTTTATTGGCAGAGTAATGATAGTTTCCCTTAGAACCATCTAAAATGCACCATTTATGATCACAGTGAAATGTGGTAATAGTAAAATTAATTTACACTCATCGACTTTCTTTTAATTTAATCAAAAGGTTTAGGTTTCGGTATATTTCATACACTGAAATAAAATAATTTGTGTATTAAAAAACATCTAGCAAGGAGTCTTTTTAACAAACAGTCCAGTTTTTAAAACAGAACAGAAATTTTAACACTGTTGATTAAAAATGTTGTTTTGGGGTTTTTTTTGTTTTGTTTTGTTTTTTGTTTTTGTTTTTTGCATCTCAGGAATGAAGCATTTTTTCTTTCTACTTTAACACATACAGGTACCTCACCAATCATGCTGCATTTAAAACATCATTATAATCACACTAATATCTCAGTGTTTATATAATGCTTTTATTTTTTCATGTCAGTGTGTGTATATATGCTTGTTTCCAATTCATATCACACAAGCTGTATATTGTTTAAACATATCCGCATAAAGCAAAGCTGTCCAGTTGCTGTAACGATCCGTTGCAAAATTTAGACCAGAAAAAAAATGCACCCTAATTTAGCTTGTAAGTGTTACACTAAGAGGGCAGTTGTCATAGTAAGGACATACTACAAGTAGGTCAAGATTAAATAGTTTGAAGGAAATGCTGTTTTCACAGTTTTTCGCATGACCTTGCTAGAATTAGCTGCACCGATGACACCACAATGCAAACAGTTCCAGAAACCTCTGTAGTTCAAATGTAACAGAAAAACAGACAAACGCTACTTAAATTTCACCATGTTCCTCTCACATTGCAAAACTATTATGTGTGCCAGTGAAGCAGATGTAGTGGGTAGCATACTGAGCACTGGTAGATTGAGTACCTGGTTTATAAGCGAAATGGCCTCCCTAGCTCTTGAAACGATAGTGGCTTCAGAACACGAAGGGTTTGTGCTTCTTGTAGCAAGCTGAAATGAAAACGCCTCATTTGGTTTCTTTTCTTTTTTTTTTTTTTAAATGTGTTCCTTGGTGTATTCATTTGGTTCGAAATTCAATTTTAAGCCTAATTCACATGTATGGAATGAAATTGTTAAATAAATAAATGCCAAAATTTCCTGTCTGTTCGTCTTACGGTCTAAACACAATACAATTAATCTGGATTACGGTCTGTCCATATATCTGCAAAACCACAGCAAAATCAACCCCCCAGAACAAGCATCCATTCAAAACAACCTAACAACGACCTGCATAGCAACACCCTAGTAACAAGCCACCACACAGAACTGCCTGTCAGCACCCTAGCAACCACCTAGAACACCTTAGCAACAAGCAAAGACCTGCCTAACAACGTGCCACCACACATAACTGCCTGGCAACACCCTAGCGACCACCTAGAACACCTTAGCAACAAGCAATGACCCAGAACATCCTAGCATTGACTTTCCTAGCAACACCCTGGTGACAAACAACCTAGCAACCACCTTAGCAACAAGCAATGACCTGCCTTGAAATCAACCTAGCAACAAGTTACCATACAGAACTGCATATCAGTACCCTAGCAACCACACAGAACACATCAGCAACAAGTAATGACCTGCCTAGCAACACCCTAGCAACAAGCCACCACACAGAACTGCCTATCAGCACCCTAGCAACCACCCAGAACACATCAGCAACAAGTAATGACCTGTCTATCAACACCCTAGCAACAAGCCACCACACAGAACTGCCTATCAGCACCCTAGCAACCACACAGAACACATCAGCAACAAGTAATGACCTGTCTATCAACACCCTAGCAACAAGCCACCACACAGAACTGCCTATCAGCACCCTAGCAACCACACAGAACACATCAGCAACAAGTAATGACCTGTCTATCAACACCCTAGCAACAAGCCACCACACAGAACTGCCTATCAGCACCCTAGCAACCACCCAGAACACATCAGCAACAAGCAATGACCTGCTTAGCAAATGGCCAAAGTTTTTCAAGAAAAAACTTTTCTAGCTGCTCTTTGCTTTTAAACTTTAAGCATGTAGTTTTTGCAGACTCATGGCATAGGTTTGTTCGAGTTGCCGAATGTTATGGACTGTACAGACATGGCTGCTAGCTTGGAGACAGATACAGACTCTGAGAGATGAAGACAGCGGCAGACACTTGAGGGGAAGTGAGACAGCAGCCCTCAGGGCAGGAGACCGCCATCACTGTAAAATCACCACAGGGGACGTGTCTCCACTCCTACACACACATACTCACACCGAGGTCAACAACACCACAAAAACCATCTCTGCTATTTCAAAATGGCCACATGGTTTGGGTCTGTTATGACTAGGCAGATTAAGACTGGACAGAACCACACAATATATTTAGCTGAGTAAAGAAACAATTGTAATATTTTCATCTGCTTCTTTTGTCTGCTTGAAGAGAGACCGTTCTGATGGTTTATATTTTTCAACCCAGAACAAACCACAAAGGCACAAATGTATATACACCAGAATAAATGATAAAAACAAAGAAAATAAAACTATATTGCGTTATTTTAGTACTAAATTTATACTATTATAGTATAGTTTAAATTCGTTTTTTATATATATATTTTCAATTTTAATGTTAATTTTAGTTTACATTTTTTAACAAAAAAACAAGTTAAGCTTTATGTACAGCATGTTGTCAGTCACCACAGAAAATAATGTAGATTCATGTCTTTTAAAAAAAAATATATATATATACATATATATATATATATATATATATATATATAATGGTGCTCACTGTAATGCACTTACAATTTTGCTAATCTTACAAACATTCAATATTGCATGATTGTGTAAAGTCAATAAACACTATAGGTTTGCCTAATACATGTATACAGGACTGTTTACATAAAGAACAATTCACCCACAGGAATTACTGTACACTTGCATCACATAACCAGAAGTTCATCTTCATCTATTAACTGTAGTCCACTGCTAATAGGACAAACATATTTTTGTAAGAAGCACTTTAGCAAGAAAATAAAGGCTTCACTTTTCTGCTTTAAATGCCTCGTGAACCGCTTCCCCTTCAAAAGATTTATTTATTCAAAAGTGTTCTGTGGTAAATCAACCTCATGCCACAGGTGCGGTCGATATAGTTTAACTTGTTTTGAAACCAGAAGATTCTTTTAATAACACTATTATCAGAGTTAGAATCAACTACCTTTTAATTAGGCAAGTTGAATGAACTCAATTACTTAAAATAATTGTTGTGAGGGTGATTAATCATAATGCTCCTTGAAATCGACAAAGTAGAATTAAACTAAACTAAATAACATCAAGATTTCTGGAATTAAAAGACACCTTTTCCCATCTATTTCTCAATACTAGACGAGATGCCTTCCTACAGGACTCTTAAGTATAACTGTGTTCATCCCGATGCTGAGAACATTTCCACACGCTGTAGAATATATAGGCAGAGTTGAATGTGTTTTGTGTCAGATGTGAGAGAAGTGAATAATATACTGTCTAAGGTATGAGAGTTTCACCTTTCCCATCAATCATCCACCGGACATGTGACCTTCTCCACTGGTACTTTGTAGTGATGGGAATGCCATTCATGATGAGAAACCTTTTAAAGGGGTTTAAGACACCCACAATCTTTCAGAGGATTGGAACACAGGAGGCAGGAACCACTGACAGCGGATAAATATGAGACTTCCTGTGGAAATCTGTGGAATTGGATCATTAGCAGGTGTTAAATTGGCTTTGGAGAGATAAAAGATTATAAAAGAAGTAAAAAAAATTAATAATTAGAAATATAAAACAATGTATATATACTACTGCTAAAAAAACTTTTGGGGTCAGTATTTTTTTTTTTTTTAAACGTAGTTTCCACAAAAATACAAAGCAGCAGAACTGTTTTCACCATTGATAAAAAGAAATGTTTCTTAAGCAGCAAATCTGAATTTTAGAATGATATAATGTAATAACATTTTACAATATTCATGTTTTTTTTACTGTATTTATGATCAAATAAATGCATTATTTTTTTTCTTTTACCTAAAACTTTTCCCCTATAAAAAAAAAGATCACAGAGGGCTGCAAACCATTACTACTGGGGGAAAGAAAGAAAGAAAGAAAGAAAGAAAGAAAGAAAGAAAGAAAGAAAGACTTTTTCTTTATTTTATTTACAACTTAGAAAAATAATTTTTATAGTGAAGATATAGATACAACTACTTTATATATTGGTGTGGTGTTAAAATGATATTTGACTAAATATTAATATAATTATACATCTAGAAGGACTGAAATAGTATTTTCTTTTAAAACATAAATAATCTTTGTTTTACATACAACTTTATATAGTTGATTAGATATAGATATAGGCCTAGATATAGATAGAAATGTAGATGTAGATGTAGATATAGATATACTACAAAATATTGGTGTGGTGTATGCTATTTACTGACTAAATATGAATATAATTTTATATCTGTAGGGTTTTATTATTTCTTAATTGAATCTATAGCTTTCTGTGACTAACTTCTAATTTCTACAAGGCTACTTTACAGAAGTTGCCTTGGATAAATAGCATGTTAAATGTGTATAGTTTTCTTTGACTAATTTCTCATTTATTCAAGGCAACTTACAATATAACTACAGGCAGTGCTCACCTTGGAGAAATCTATTGGCGAGTGTCTCATGCAAGAACACAATGGTGATAGAGATCTCTCAATATCGCTCCGATTCACAAGTTGACCCCACCGAAGGCACCTCCCCTTAACCACAAAAGACTTTCACCACCCTTTTCAGTAACTGAAGCTATCAATCATCCCACACCATTCTCCGAGGCAGTCTTTTGAACACAGATCATTTTTTTTAACTTGACTGAAATTAAATACGGTGTCACGAGCAGCACAAAGCATCTTTCAATATAGATGTATGCATAGATTTAGTAGTCTAGGCGTGTGTCTGTCATATCATGTGAGAGCAGCTTTTGATTAAACACATTTATATGCACTGAACAATTCAGAATGCAGACATATACATGCATAAAAACCAATGCTCTCACGTGTACAGTAATGGTTTGCGATGTTCTCTGTTCTTTTTCTCTCTTTCTTCTCTCAGCAGCAGGATGGAGACAGTAGTGTGTCTCCTGTGAAATGTCTGCCTGCCTTTGCACTCTATGTTAATGCGGCCGTGCGTCTGCCAGAATTTCTCCCTTACCTGGGCCTGAGCT